TTACTTCAGAAAATCTGCACTTAAAAAATTACGTGTTTCCATACTTTGTGTCTATAAAAACAGATCACACAGCGGACATTTTACAAGCAGGAACGAAATGAAAGCCGATCAGACAAAACGTTCACATTAGGGATTGTAGAAGACACCGTAAGGAGGGATTGTACTTAAAACTAGCAAGTGAGAATTGGGACAGTGTCTTAAACTTAAATGATGTCGAGGAGGCAGTGAATAATTTAGAAGCAAAAATTAAACATCACATGGATGAATGTATGCCGTTACGGTCGATGCGCATGTCATCCCGAGATACGGTGTGGATAACACCCTTAGTAAAATCGTTAATGAGGGTAAGGTCAAGAATAGCTCAAAGCAATAAAGATCGGTTGGCTGAGGTTAACAAAAAAATAAGCAAATTGATTAGTAAGAACAGAAGAACACCCGCAAAGGCACCTGTCGGATCCAGAGAATGGTGGAAGCACGTAGATAACTTGTCCCAACGACGCAGCATTTCTGCTAATGTTGCATTGGACATTAATTCACTGGAGGAGCTAAACGACCACTTCGCCGATTTGTGCACTGATGACGTATATACGAAGCCTGTACCAGCTATTGTGGATAAGAGCTTAGAAGCCCCTCAGATATCAGAAAGACACGTGTGGAATTGCTTACAACATCTGAAGAAAACCGCTATGGGACCAGATCTCATTCCCTTTTAGATTTGGAGGGGTCACGCAGAGATCTTTACAAGTGTCATTCATAAGATCTGGAATGTTTCCTTGAAAACTGGCAAGTGGCCCTCCTCGTGGAAAAGGGCCCACATGACCCCCCTCCCTAAAGTTGACAACCCTAAGGGCAAGCAGGATTTCAGAGGAATTAAGATCACGCTTGTAATTGCACGTGCGTTCGATAAATCTGTGTATAACACCCATGCACGAGACATTGTTGAACAGCATCTGAGTTCAACACAGTTTGCCTATAAGACAGGGGGGAGTTGCACTGATGCGCTCTTGAGCATGCAGCATATCATCTACAGCTATTTAGACGAGCAAGACTGCAAAGCCATCCCAGTGTTTGCAATGGATTTTAGGAAAGCCTTTGACTGTGTCAATTATGAACTCCTGTCATCTAAGCTTGGGAAGTTGCCATTGAATCCCCTTATTGTAAACTGGTATTTACGTTTTCTCGAGAAACGCCAGCAGCGAGTAGTTTATAACGGTTTTAAGGGACAGTGGCGTGAGGTTAATATGGGTACGACACAAGGTAGTGTCAGTGGGCCATATCTTTTTAACGTGTTTATTAATGNACACTGGGAGTGGGTCGTCCCATCCTAGGGTAGCATTGTTATTCTTCCCTCTCCCCATGCTGACTAGTTGTTGGAGTAGGAGTTTACCTTCCAGGAGTACCGGGACGGCCAAGCCAAGTGGATCGTATACTGCATTCACGACTGAGAGGACCCCTCTGCGGGTGAAGGGCTTTCTGGGTAAGCATACTTTGAAGGTGAAGGCATCTTTTGTTAGGTCCCAGTAAACTCCGAGCGAACGCTGCGTGGGGAGACAATCTTGACGCAAATCAAGGTCGCGGATGTCTTTTCCCCTATCTTCTAGTGGGAAGGCTTCCATGACCTCTACGGAATTAGAGACGACCTTGTGAAGTCGTAGGTTAGACTTCGCTAGCATGGCCTGTGTATTGGTCACTAGGATAATGGCTTGTCGTGGTGTTGGTGTCGAAGCTAAGCCATCGTCTACATAGAAATTTCTGCACACAAACTTCTTTGCTTCCTCTCCAAATTCCTCCTCGCCATCAGCCGCGGTTTTTCTGAGGCCGAAGGTCGCTACTGCAGGACTTGGGCCGTTACCGAAGAGATGGACGTTCATACGGTACTCCATAACTCGTTTGGAGATATCGTTGTCTTCGAACCAGAGGAAGCGTAGGAAATCTCTATGTTTTGGGGTGACATGGAAGGAGTGAAACATTTGCTCGATATCACACATAATGGCTGTATTCTCCTTCCTCTGGAAGCGCATTAAGACGCCGACAAGACTATTCATTAGGTCTGGGCCGGGTAGTAGGAGCTTGTTCAGCGAAACTCCTTTATACTCCGCAGACGAGTCAAACACAACTCTGATCTGTGTTGGCTTTTTCGGATGGTAGACGCCAAAGTGGGGTAGGTACCAAACTTTACCGGGCTTAGGTTCAGATTTCAACTCTTCTTCTGGTATCACTGAGGCATGACCTTTCTCGATTACTTTCTCCAGGAAATTGAAGTAGTCGGACTGCATCTGCGGTTTTCTTTTAAGGGTGCGCAATAGGCCGTTTAGACGATTGACTGCTTGAATTCCATTGTTCGGCATTTGTACTTCCTCTTGACGAAAGGGGAGTGACATCTCCAAATTTCCCTTGTTATTTTTGCAGACTTCTCTTTCCATGATTTCTAGGAACTTTCGGTCTTCCCGAGACGGCGCGACTTGATTGTCGTACCTAGTAGTAGTGAAGACGTTGTTTTCTAGAAAGTCATTGAAAGTTTCTTAGTGTCTTTGTGCTAAAAACGGAAGAGTTATATAAGTAAAAAAGGTTAGAGTTCGTATCCGTAAACGTGACAATGCCCGTTTTTCCAGTTTTTGCCTAAGAAAAAGAACATGAGGTACAATCTTAGAAATACCTCAGTCTCTGTCCCTAGAATCCACACCGAAAGGTTTAAGAACGTTTTTAGTAATAAGATAATTTTTAAATATGACATGTAATAGTTTCCCTTGTGAGTTTATGTTGTAACTTAGGATAGGTCATTTTATCTTAAGAAATAAAGATTATGTTATGTTATGTTATGTTGGCGCATGCCAAAAACTAACTAATAGCAAAATGCTTTCCTTCGTAGCAATGACAGGGATATCCTACTCCCTGTCCGTGAACATTGACACACTACAAACCCTGCCTCTTTGTTTCGATAGGTCCGAAAAGTAATCACAGCATTCATTGTCAATTTCGCGTAAAGTACAGTACAAAAATTTCAACAATCACGTGGACAATGTTACTCGGTTTACTATTAATTACCAGTACGTTCATATCCTCTCAGGGAACTTCTTTTATATCTTCACCTGGTGTTACTCTTTGCCTCCCCCCGTAAAGCTTTTAATGTTCCGTTACCCTCAACGTTTTATTTGGAGACTACGAAAATGCACGAAGGCTTGCTCTTAACTTTCCAGGACTACAATCACTTTTATACTTAGAATTATTTGTCGTATGGGAAATGACCAGGAGACCGGTCATTATTTATTGGCCGGGGAGGAGGGATTCGATATTTTTGTTGTTGTAGCGGCCGCCTTTACCGATTAATAAAGGGACGCGAGAAAACTGTAGTGAAGCAACCACAAGTCTAACAAAATCAGGCTGGTCCGTTTATTCAAGGCTTGATAGACGACAACTTGATAAACACGAACTAAAGATTAACAACAGTTCGATCGAAATTCAACCATACTGACCGTCAAAGACTGTTAGGTTCCAACACAAAACACGAGCGTGTTCCTCCTTAAATTCTAGCTACATCAAGATTTCTGTCACGGTCCTGAAGCGGTTCAGAGTCCACGTGCGAATCAAAAATACCCGTATAAAGAGATCACGTGACGTAACAAAACTAAAGCTGAGAAGGCGTTACAGTTGTGTCACGTTAAAATTTACCTGATTCCTCCCAAGTCAGTTTTCTATTGTTCCCCCTTTCTTACCCCGTTGGCGGCGACCTAGAGATTATGAACAGTTAATTTCTTGCGACGTAATTCCCCAAAGACCTTCCCCTCCTACCCCCCTCCCATCCCCCACAGGTGGACTGAGAGAAGCAGGTTCTACACCCTTACCAATCAATTTTGTTTTTCAAGCTGATAGCTTTAATCAGTATAAATTTCAATGCTTTTTAAACCACCATCTTAAATGAAAACAGAACACTGAGCTTTACGGGCCCGTTTATTTACCGGGACCTTCGAAAAACGGGCCCTATGTCTCTAAACTTAACAGTAGTGGTTAAGGGCTTGTGATTTGCCGCGGCAACTTTTATGGTTTTTAATTCCAACACGTTTGCGCATCAGCCTACCTCAATTGGGCAGTTATTAGTTATATCATTTTTATCAGCTTAAGAAGGAAAAAGAGGGGTCAGAGAGGAAGGCTCCTGGTTCAGGCCTCAGCGGGAAATTTTAATCCCGGTAAAATGAAGTCTCTCGAACTCTGTTTTCCTGGTCATTCCATTCACGCAAAGACTGACTTAGATCTCATATTCCTCTAAAAGAAATATGAGCAGTTGACCAAAAGTAAGTTTTTTCGATGAGCATGACTCCAAACTGAACATGTGATACCCGATAACCGAGAATTCAACGTTCAGACGCTCGAGAAAACGTGGGTTTCTATGTTAAATCAAACATAACTTTAGTGGAGGTGACATATCGCAGACTACGCTCTTATTTTCTCTAACTGTTCCCCTCGTTTTCTCTTGTTAGAATAATGTAACGATTACTTTAGGGCTTATTTCACTTGACATTTACATAACAAAGCAACAGCGCAAAGCCGCGCTACAAGAATATGGGATATATTTGTCACTTCGGTTAAATGATAATCGCTATTTCCATAAATAGTAGCAACTTGAAATACTTAAAATGCGCGCTTGTGCTAAAATTTTGGCTGACAAAAAAAAAAAAGAAAAAGTTTTTATTACACTTCAGTACATAGCGTACTATACTGCTGACCATAACGATTGTCATTGGAGTAAGCTAACTGGCTGATATTTCGCGAGTTTTGGAAATCTACGCGACAGCATAAGACTTAATACTTGGACAAACACTGAGAAAGAGCTCTGCATTTGTGGAAGGAAACGATGCAGTATGAGAACTTTTTTAGAAAATGTTTATCCCACTTTGACTTCAGACCATAAAAAAGAATTTTTAAAAATGTTAAAACTTCCAATATGATCGTCAAACGCATGTTGCCAAGTTGGCAGCTTAAACAGTAAATTTAGACACCAAGTCAAATTGCTCACAACTTGGAGCGCTGTTATGAAGTATTGAAAAAGTAACAGAAAAAATTCGTAGGAACCAGTTAAGATTTATCGATTGGGGGGAGGAGGGAGGATTGGGGGGAAGGGATCTCAGAGTTTGCAGAGTTTGAACGGAAGGGGGAACAGACTTGCCAACTGAGTGTTAAGGGGGCATCATTTTAAAAATTGACGGCCAAATTGACTGCGAGTGAGGGTGTACCGTAAGAGCCTTGTGGAGGGATCGGTAAATCGTGCCACAACCGAAATCCTTGACCTCCCCCCCTTTGTGATAAAAAATGACCGTTCCATTACGTTAAATCTCCTTGTTTAGGGCAGGGCCCAATAATAATTTCAATTTTAAAGCAAAAGGTAAACTGAATAGTTAGGGATACGGTAGACCTTCGTGGGTGTCCTTCTCACAAAAAATTTTAATGATGTGCAGTGCGTCGAAGGCCACTGCAGGAGATCCATTTTGAAAACGGAATTCCCCCACACGGTCATTCAGGTTGGCCTCTAGGGAGTCTTCGGACCAAATTTCAAGGTAATCCGTAAAGTTTGCATAGCATATTAATTCATTCTAAGGAGGCACATCCACGTAAAAACGAAGTAAGCATTTTTAACTTCCAAAGTTTTCCCAACAATTCACGCCTTTCGGTGACCATATGTCAAGTTATGTCAACACTCTGAAAAACTCGAAATGTCGACAGCCAATAGAAACACAGAAGCATACTGCAGAGTCTCACGACTCTCGGAAACAATATATTTTGCAGGTTTCTTACTTACAGGAACAAATGTACCTGTGACAGACCTTTACTTGCTGAACGGCGATTTTGACTTCGAACCACGAACCTTTATCCCTTTCGGTTAGAGTCTTTCACCATTCCGCGTCGAATTTCTTTATTTCTTGTGCTGACAAGCAGGCTTCTTTTTACTAGTACCTCTGGACTCTTCTCCTTTTTATCTTTCTCATTTACATTATAGTTTTAAACGTAGCCAGATAGCAAAGGATGTTTTACCGTAAGAAACCATTCGGAAGTCATCTATGTTGACATGTTAGAATTGACTATTCACACTTTGGCGGGCTTAAAAATTTCAGTTCGAAAATATGTTTTTGTAAATAACTTGCACGCGTCTCAAAATTTTTACCGAAATTTTTACTTAGAAAGTATAGTTTAAATAATAATTCTTAGTTTGAGATGGAAAAAAAAAAAAAAAAAACATTAGCCCTCGAGGGTCTACCGTACACCCTAACTTTTGGGTGCTACTGGAAAGTCAGCGTCCTCAACGATACCTATCTTTGCAAGCTGCTCCTTTACGCGGCCAAGGTAGGTGGCATCTGGATATCCATGCCTGTAGAGGAAACAAAGAAGTCATTGAGGCTCAAGAAATCATGTTGCTTTGAAATAGCCTTAATACTTGTTAAAAAATACATATCTTCATTAGCTTAATTTTTCTTGGCATTTTCTTTCAGTTCATCATTTTCATTTATCAATAATCCTATACAAATGTTGGTTCTGTGGAGTAATTTGGGAAGTTTTCGGATATATAGTTTATTTATATTGAAGATTCCAAAGAAACTGACCCAGACTTTTTGACCAAAAGCGTGTTTTACTCGTTACCAACTTTAGACGCAAACTAGACGCGTGCAATACAAGATTACGCCACCCGTGACAACTTTCTATCAGTAACTACAAAACCAAAACTTTCGATGTCTTTCCTTCGAATGCATGTCAAATGACCGGCCAAAGCTTTCAACTGCATACATTCAGATAAGAAAATAAGGCCGACACAAAGCGCACAATGCTTATCCAAACTCCGAGAAAAATGTCTCAAATTATTTTCTCATCGAAATTACACAAACTCTGTTGTACATAGGTTTAGACGCGGTTTAAGATGTCTCCCTTTCCTTTCCCTTCTTTAATTTTTTTTGGTTGAACTCAAAAGGCAACTTGTGCTTACTTTGGTAGTCCCCCCGATCGATTGATTTTATGTTCGATACCATTACACACGATCTGATTCTCCTCGCCCGTAACTTGGCATTTACCAATTGTAAACAGGAGTTGGGCGTCAAACGCTTTCATCAGCAACTGGAGAACTTTCTGTCCTTCAGAGTTGTTTGGAAGGTATGCCGTGAAATACCTTTCACGGTAAGGTTGTCCTTGTGTAGGATGTTGCCATCCTGTGAAGCGAGAAACAAACAAAAACAAGAAATTCTAAGAATATCAGAGAAAATTACATGGTACAAATTCCGATAGGTAATGTTTATTGAAAACCTTTGGATACACCGAAAAAAAATTTGGAAAAGGGAACACCCGACAATAAATAAGTGTGTCTATTCCTTTTCTATGCAATACGAGCCAGCAAGACAACCTATAAATATGCAATTCATTCCTGGCGCTATCTTTGAAAGGCTCCGTAATAAGACGTGAATAATTCTTACGTCCGTTGCAGAAACTTAGTTGTTCCACCTTAAAAACAAGTGAATAAGATTCATTTATTTCAAACCAACCTTGAATTCCTGAAGGAAAGTTATAGCTAACAACAACAGTGTACCAATCTTCATTTCCAGGAAGAGAATATTTCTCTGTCCTCCAACTCATGTTTCCCATTGGTTGGGACCTCTCACAGACACACCACTGATTACTGCAGACGAAAACATCATTCAAAGCGTGATGGACACAAGACTGGCAAAAATTGTGTCCACAGTTCAGCGGTTCAACCAGTTCTTGACATGAGTTGTGACATACTGAACAAAGTGGCTCGACAAAATGGTCACCCCTTGTAGCTGTTTGGCTCCCTTGTGACTGATCTGAAATTTCAAGGGAATTTTTAGTCCAGAGACATATCTGGCCAACTACAAGAAAATATTTTTTCCTTTGGAAATATGGTGAAGAATTATTGGGAGGACCTTAAACCATAGAATGAGTTAGAACAACTGATATATAAGTTCGAGGGTGTGGTTGACTTGCTAATTGTGGTGGACTTGGTGATCAACGAAAATTAACAATCAACGAAAACACAACCGATTTCATTTATACAACAGCAGCCACAATTTAAGATCTGATACTGATTCACGTGACGATTTAAGAAAAGATCATTACATATTCTACCTTCGTCCCTCTCTAATGGAGACGCGTCACGTGATGATACCCTTAGCTTCTTTTCTTCTCTTGTGTTCTGTCCCGGTCCTTGAGTTATACCCGCGGCTGATGATGGCACATCATTTGGTGCATTCAGTTTGTCTGATGCTGATGCATTTGTCTCCTCTGTCTCAGGGGCACTTAAATTTGAATGCACAGAATCACTTGCTGAGATCTCACGCGGAACATTGCAGAGATCAACAAATTCACTGCCTTCCTTAGACTTGTCTGGCGGCTTGCCTTCTTCTTCTTTTGTGTTCCGTTTATTCGCATCTGTTTCATTTACGTTCTTGACATCACAAGTATCTGTGAATTGCTCGTTTTTTTCTACCTCCACGAATTGATTTGCAATATTAAGGCCGTCTTCGGCAGAGAAACCAGGAGGGTGCTTGATTGCCCTTAGTGGCTTAAAGCTCATCGCCCTTCCAACTGAGGCACCTTTTGTGACACCGTCTCCTTTTCGGGAAAAGTTAGCGGCAAGGTTTCCTTTAAAAGGCACTGCACTTCCAGAATTCTTTGTTGTTTTTTGAGATCGTTCATCAGTAGTACGACTCTCATCTTTGGGCTGGTCTTTCTCCCCGCCTCCGGCATTTTGAGCTTCAAGACTGTTTGCCAAAGACGCCTTATCTGCCTTTACGCTGCTTTCCTTAGAATTTTGCTGTTGCTGCTCTTCAACCCGTTGATGGGATTCGTCTCCCTCCTGTCTTCTCATTGACTCAGCAAAGTTATCCTGTACGCTCTGATGTTGTTCACTAAGTAACTCGTCATCATTCCTTGGGTCAACTCTTCCTCGGTTAGTGGATAATGGGCTATATCCTTCTTCATCAGGTAGACGTCTCTGAGTTGCCATTTCAGTTTGTGATTTTTCTCCTGAGTTGTAACGGTTAATAAATTCTCTGCGGAAGACCTCAGTAGTTTCTGCATCGATGATAACGACGCGGATATCACTGAGAGTGCTACATTCTGCATCTATACTTGTGCTGAATTCCTCAATCGCTTGAAAAATTGCCACAGCACAGACTTCTTTTGGCATACCGCAATTACCTGAGCTAATGGCTGGAAGAGCTATAGAAGAAAGTCGAAGTTGTACAGCAAGTCGGAGGCATACTATGCATGTTAGTCGTAGAGCTGTCATGGCAGCGCTTTTGTCGGGATAAGCTAACCAGTCTGGCCCAACTGTGTGAATTACATAATGACAAGCCAGATGCCCACTTCGGGTGTAAACAGCTTCACCAGGTTGTAGAGGGAATTGACGATGAGACATGACATACTGAGAATCATCTATTATTTGACTCCCTCCTTTTTTCACAATTGCGCCACCCACACCTTGAGAATGTTGAAGCCATGCGTTAGCTGGGTTCACAATGGCGTGGAATTTTTCATCAGTTATGTCTCCCTGGTATAAGAATACCATTACGTTATTTGTCAACATCTGCTGTAGGATCTTAGGCAATGGCGGTTCATGATGGTGAGGCGAATGACTGATATTCCTTTGACCATTCCTACGGTTGCCGCCGCTGAGTTTTGAAAGTCCAAGCATATTTTTTAGAGCCTTTACTGAGCTCTTAAGATGAATATCCTCGCTGTATATGATTACCTGACCTTCTACTTTCTCAATCACAACGGGATGTTTGCTTTCCACGAATGCAATCGCCTCCTTGATTTTCCCATCATCGTGGATGTCTCTTGCATCAATCCATGACAAGCTTTGCGCACCGAAAAAATTTATGCAAATTAGGCTTAGCCGGATCTGAGTTTCGCCTGGCAATTATTAACTGTAAGACAAGACCTCAGTTCGCGCCCACAGCACGTTCAAGGTGTTGCGGATGAGGTTTCTGTAATTACTTTTTGGCACTTTTCGGCGTCAAAATTGCATGGTTTGGGTAACCCATGCAAAACCTTTAAGCCGTCCTTTCTTGTCATAACACGAATGTTTTCCAGAAAGGGACACGCGGTAATGTCGGCGTCACTCGCGTGCAGGCATTTTCCAGGTTAAACTCACGCGTGGAATGAAGTCATGTTTACTTTAGCGTTTTTTTTAATGCGCACAAAGTAAGCCAAAGAAATTTTACAGTTAAACTTAAAGATCGGAATATTTTGTGCTGAAGATGATAAATGATCGACGCTGAACTAAATTATACGTTGAAGAAAAGACAAATCAACATAACATATAAAAGGGAATTTGGAAAAATACGAATTTGCGGAAACCCAGAAAATCTTCGATTTTGAAGGGAGGATTTATTTTTCGGAGAAACGTTTTGTTGGTTACATACTGGAGAGAAGACAACGTGAAGCGAAATTATAACTTGTTTTAATCTAAATAGAGGTATTTTACACTGTAAACACTCGTAGAACGTGCTTACCAATAACAAGAACGTTTGAAATTACTAAATATACACTGATTTGGTCGTTGACATACTGGTGAGAAGAAAATAAAAGCGCATTTACTACGCACTAAAAGTTAAATGGGAGAAATACTCATTTTTTAAAGAAGCCAGCCGAGAGAAAATAAATTAGAAGATAACCATATATATAACTGAAAATGTACCTATAT